AAAAAAAAAAAAAAAAAAAAAAAAAAAAAGATACCAGACAAGGGAAAACAGGCAAGCAATCTGCCAGAAAGAATAACACTCCTTAATACACCTGAAGTTTGTGAATACTACCGTCTTCCCCCGAGCATAACCCATACGCATTGTATTCAAATTTCAAAGTTTTCAAAAAAAAAAGTGACGACTCAAATAGAACGCAAATGCGTTGTATTCGGATAGAAGGGCTGTTCGAATAGAACGCACATGCGTTGTATTTGAATAGAAACCAACCTACGCGTTGTATTCGTTTAGAACGCGTATGCGGTCCTTCAGGACATCCGTTAAAATTGGAACGATACAGAGAAGATTAGCATGGCTCCTGCGCAAGGATGACACGCATAAATCGAGAATGCGTATGCGTCATGTTCAGGGAAAGACGGGTAGGGTCAGGGCCGACTGATGCTACATGTGTGCTCTAAGCTGACCTGCGTTGGGGCATTATAGGTTCGTTCGTACATTTTTAATACAAACATCCAGGTGTGGAGATCGGCCCTTTGCTCCACCCCACACGAATATGAACTCCTTAGCGACTGGAACAAAGGACTGGAAGCAACGACCCAACTCAGCCCACACTGAATCGTACACACATGTCGGTGTAACAAACAGCTCACGAGTTCGAATCCTGATGAAAATAAAATTTAATAAATGTTAAGAAGAAGTCTGAAGAACAACCACTTTTTAATTTTTAAATTTTAAACGAAAAAAAGGGGAAACTGGAACTAATGCAGGCGGCCATACCTGTGCAGCACCATGCAAGTCTCGCTCAGGAGTTGATTGAGCATGAGATCGTCGTCAGTTAACTCGCCATTGCTAGAAGGCGACAACGTAATATCTTTAGGTAATCTCCAATCTTCAGGCAGCAAGTACTGGACCCAATCCTCTTGACTTTCTTCGAAGTGTCGTCTTATTTCCATCAACAAGTCCCGCAGCTCTTGGTGTGTGTAAGGCTTCTTCAGATTTTTGCTGCAGACACCATACCCAAACATCATCCGACAAACCAAGGAAAGAAAACCACCTTTAGACGGAGACAAATCCGGGGGAGTCCAATTAATCAAGAGCAAGAGAGAGAGAGCCTCTCTTAACCCACCCCGAAGAGTGCAAGATAGAAAAAGTACCTTTCGTTTCCATTTGCCAATGAAAGGTGTGAATTCTTGAACACGTACGACTTGCATTGAGAACTAAACCTGGGGTGATTTCAACTCCGTAATGAAATTAAGTAACCAACTGGCCTAGCTCAGTTGGTACACCCCTCAACTGTTGAATTACAGATCCACGTTCAAATCCAGTTAAAATCAGATGAACAGAACAAAATTAGGGGCAAAAAAAAAAAAAAAAAAAAAGTCCTTCAGGACATCCGTTAAAATTGGAACGATACCTAGAAGCTGTGTGCGCCTGCCGTACAGATACGGTACGTTCGTACAAACGGCCAGATGACAGCCGTCGGCCAAACCTGGCTCTGCATCATCCCTGTGTTAACCGGCACAGTCCCACACAGATAGCTGGGTAATGTACTGCTGGTCTAAGTTCCGTCTAACCGATGCCTGCAGCCAAATGGTCATCCTCTTCAACAGAGCTGCCCCGTCTAGTCGGCCGACCGAAATTAGCTGTGTACCATAAAGTCGCCAATAACAGGGTCCACCACACCTTGATTCCGAGAGGACATCAATGCTTGTGCACTAATGCTATTACGGTATTACCCGATAGCATTCGACACATTTCCTCCATGGCCCAATAGCTGCAACTTGCCAATTTCACATTACAAAATATACTCATAAAAGGGTTCCACGATTCCATCCCTAAGCCCGGACTTTCTTGGGCATTTTTTCATTCGACATTGACAGTAAAACAAGAGACAAAGAGAGAGAGAGAGAGAGAGAGAGAGAGAGAGAGAGAGAGAGAGAGAGAGAGAGAGAGATGGAGTTGCACAGCAGTGGCAGCTTCAGATAGCAGCAGGTCCAGCTTCGCAGGAGAGAACTGTTGGGTTATTTCTACTGGAAAGAGTTGAAACTTTAAAGTTGAAACAGCTTTTTTTTTTTTTTTTAATTCCGTGAATACTTTCATCACCACTAATAAGTTACTAACCGTTTTGGAATTGAAGCCCGCGCTGTCTATGAGCTATTGCATGCAAACAATCAAACCAAAATATAGCAAACAGGCAGCTGAATTCAGATGCTGATATCATACAAGCATGTGTTTGGTAGCTTTCAACAGGAAACTCAAGCGCCTTAATGTCAGATGCATTGCAGGTGTCGCGGAGTACATCTCTGAAATGCTCCTTAAGGTCCTCAGGGGTTTCTTACTTCGGAACTATCTCCTCCACTGCTGCCTGAACATTGCTAACAAGGCTCTCCAGACCTCTGTGCGAAAGAAAGTCGGCGAATCCAATAAATCTATGTTGCGCACTCATCGACAGTGGCTGGAATGGACCCTGGTGGCACAACATCCCCCCCCCCCCCCCCCATTCACTCCATCCCTCCTCCCCCCATCACCCCACTCCAATCATCCCCTCCTGCCCCGCCCAACCCCCAGAACCTTCCCCACACCATCACCTCTCCCACAACGCACTCACAGACAAACACAAGACACACGCACACACACAAACACACACACAAACACACACACAAACACACACAATCTGAGTGCATGCACGTGAATATAAATCTACAATGCTGGGCTCAATTCGTCAAATCGCTAACACAAAATAAATTCCATCTCGTGAGGAGCTCATCAAGTTCATCAAGTAGCTTCTTCTCAGCTCATCAACATAATTCCTTACTCGTGGTCATGCCAAATTCTGTCTGTTTAAAAAAAAAAAAAAAAGAAGTTATGTTGCAGATAATCGTGACAAGTACAATTATCAGATTATGAATGTAGTGAAATATCTAGCATTTTGAATTTATCCTTTTCTCTTTTTTTTTCAGGCATTCGGGGCATCTTTTCTGAGTGGGGATCCGGGCCGCCCGGGTGACCGGCAGGGGCCCGGGGGAGGTCCCGGGCGGCCTGGCCGGGCGGGGCACCGGTTGGGGGCCGGGCCTCCCCAGCGCA